AGTAAAGTGAGAGANAATATACACGCTTTAAAAAGTTATATGACGGTATTAACATTAAGAAAAGAAGAGAAAGAGAGAGAGAAAGAGAGAAAAAGAGAGAGAGAGAAAGAGAGAGAGATTGGATTTGATGTTTTTTCATTACTATATATTATATTTTTATTCATTTGTTAATATTTATGTTTCTACTTGGCACTTTGTGACAGTGATGTAGTGTTAGACATGTTTTTGATGTATTTACTCTGACACATACATATTTCATAACAGGTTAAACTTGTATGCAAAAGTTTGTATGTATTTTTGTTTGTTTGTGTGTATATACGTACGTATGTATGTACGTATGTATGTTTTTATGTGTTTGCATGTATGTATGTATGTATAAATTTGAACAAATGCATCTCTTCGCGAGTTTTTAACATGTATGTATGAAAATTTTTGTGTATATTCCTGTGTATATTTTTGTGTATGTGTGCGTGTGTGTGTGTGTTTGAGTGTGCGTGTGCTGTGTATGTGTGTTCGTGTGAACATACGTGTGTATATATCGCACATGTTATCAGAGTTTGATGTCAAGTGGTCGACAATATATCATTTGCGTGCTAAACTTGTTAGCCTTCGCTAAAATAATTTTTTAGTTTTATATTTTGGGGTGTTTTTTTTTCTATTTTTTATCACTTTTTTATTTTGTTTGTTTTTCAATTTCGATTAATATTTACTGTTCTTTTTCTCTTTTTTCATTATTAATATTATTTTTTTTATTATTATTCTTTAAAAATCAAGATCTTTTCGTATCTTTTCATATCTCTCCTAAGCGGTGATGCAGTCAGAAATTTTTTCTGGGGGCCTAGGATATTTCCAAAAAAAAGGGTTGACGGTTTTTTTTGCTTAATTTACATTTTTCTCATAATTTCCACATCGGGACTTGTATTTTTTCATCCAAATTTAGCTTAAAACGGTTCCTATTTAGAGAGCGCCAACAATTTTAAATGGAAATTACGTAGAAAATCGCCATAGTAGGTAGTGGTAGAGATATGGGAAGTTTTCATAAGAAACCTAAGCACGTGTGTGTGTGTTTGTGTGTGTGTGTGTTTGTGTGTGTTTGTGTGTGTTTGTGTGTGTGTGTGTGTGTTTTTGTGTGTGTTTTTGTGTGTGTTTTTGTGTGTGTGTGTTCGTGTGTGTATTTGTGTGTGAAAACTTGTTGTCAGTTAAAACGCTATCATTACAATGTTAATAACAATATCAATGTTAATACTGTCTCAAACGCCATTAAAACAACAGAAAATAACTGATTCTGTATAAAAAAAAATATAATCAGATGTATGTTTAAATGAATTCATATTGAAATAAAAATAACATTTGATGAATAGAATAACTATTCTATCTATATACTGATTTTAAATGAATTAAATTTACATATAACTCAACATCGCATGTATCCAGTTGTATGGTCCAGCTGTATTCATCGTACTGGTTCAGATGTTTTTGTAAAAACAAGTGTAGCGCTTCATCAACTAAACTTTAAAAATGCTAAAAGTTAATTTAACCATTAGTAAACAAACGTGCCATAAATTAATTAAATGCGTTTTTTATTTGGAAATAACTTGTAATATTAATAACTTTATAATGCTTGTTTTAAGTTTTTCGAATTTTTATTTAAAAATGTTTGTCATTTATAAACAAATAAATTAGAAGTAAATGAATTCGACACTCAGTTAACTTACTAACTTGAATTTGATTGAAGACAACTTGAATTTGCACAAAAAAGATAGGTTAGCTAGAACTACTAACTGTGTTACCTACCTGTTACCGTGTTATGGAGACCACGCCCCAGCAACTGCCTAATCTGAAATTTAAAAGTTAATTTGGATAAAAGTATGAATCAAAAATATCTTCAATAAAAAGTTAGATTGTGATATCTTTTTTTTATTTCATTTTATAATTTATTTATATTTATTTTTTATATTTATAACTATAATAATTTACTAATCACTTCATCTTCATCCATTCCAATCTATTACATACCATTTCCAATCCACCAGAGTTTTATACTTGTTCTATTATAATACTAACTACTAAATTATTAACTTCAAATTTAGATAAGCTAAAAATAGCAACCAACAGACCAGCCTTGCAATGGCTGTAAAAACATCGTCAAAACGAACTTTATTAACTTCACCAAATGATTCAATGATGGTTCCCAACAGGATTTTCCCACCCCCAGCGAAAAAACTAAAACGAGACGTCACTAATAATACTGAACTGTCAATCATTGCAAGCGATGCCTCTTCTAATGTTAGTGAACCTGAAGTTAGTGAAAACTTTTCTGACTCTGGATTAGCGTCTGAGTATTGTAATGAAGGGCTGGAGTCTAGCCTACAACAAAAGCCCACTAATCTACAGACCATTGCAAATGATGTTCCCGTCGTCTGTGAAGTTAGTGAAATCTTTTCTCTCAACTATGGATTAGGACCAAATCGTCAGTACAATGATTTAGAATTGACGTCGGGGCCAATCGTAGATCAGTCCCAAGACTACCTAAATTCTACTAACTACGATGACCCATTGAGTTTAACTTCGATATTCTCAAGCAGTAAATCACTACTCGATTCATCGTTGCTGAATGTCAGTAACTTGGGCGCCGATTTTCTCAATAATATAAATATAGAAAGTTTTTTCAAAAATCATAATAATAATAATAATTATAATATTAATAATAATAATAATAATAAGAATATTAATAATAATATTAATAATAATAATAATAATATTAATAATAATAATAATAATAAGGAATCTACTATTACTTTAGTTAATAGTATTACTACTAATACTAAAGGCAGTAGTAGTAGTAGTAGTAGTAATGTGTATGATAATGATGACAATACTAAAAGTAGTAGTAGTGATAGTAGTAGTAGTAGTAGTAGTAGTAGTAGTAGTAGTAGTAGTAGTAGTAGAAGTAGCAGCAGCAGAACTATTGGTACGAGTAGCAGTAGTAGTAGTAGCAGTATTAATGACAATAAAAGTAATAGTATTGATAATGTTGATAATGATAATAATAATAATACTAATAATGATGATGATGGTAATGATGCTATAGACTGTGATGAAAATACGTTGCTGTTGTTGATGTTGTTGAACAGCCTTCGTCTATCTAAAGATGACGTCAACAACATTCTACAACAAAACGACCTAGATTTCAACAGCCTTCTTGATTACCTGAAGACTATTGGTCACGACATGAATGATGTCATCCAGGCCATGGCTGCCAACAACGACAGCGTCAACAACACCAGCATGGAAACAGCAACGGAGATTACATCAACAACGACGACAACAACAAATGTTTTTCCCAGCACAACAACGACAATGACAACAACTAACTTCCCACTCGACGCAACAATAACTACAACATTAACACCAACTAACTTCCCACTGAGCACAGCAACAACAACAACGACAATGACGTCATCAAACATCTCACCAGGCACAACAACAACAACATTAACATCAACTAACTTCCCACTGAACACAGCAACAACAACAACGACGACGACGACATTGACGTCAACAAACATCCCACCAGACACAACAACAACAACAACAACACTAACGTCAAAAAACCTCCAACTCGACACGACAATGTTGATGTCATGCAATTTCTTGCTCGACACCACAGCAGCCTTCTACAACAATGCCTCCTTCCTTAATTTTGTTGACCATGTCAACAATGAAGACGACAACAACATTACTTGCCTTCTGGAGGAGAGTATTTTTAACACTACTAACATTTCTAGGGCTATTACTATAGATGATTTAAATACTACTACTTTTACTGCAGCTGCTGTGGCTACTACAACTGCAGCTGCTGCTGCTACTTCTACTGCTGCCACTACTTTTACTACAACTACTACTACAGCTGCTGCTACTACTACTAATCATAGTATTAATAATGGTAGTGTTACTGTTGGCCAAAAAGACATTATTCCTGACAATATTACCATAATAGACGACGAAGACGACGACGATGATGATGATGATGGTGGTGATGATGATGATGATGATAATGCTGATATGTTTTTTACTAAATCATCATCATCATTTCTGACTAGACCACTTTCGCCATCATCATCATTATCAACATCATCAACGTCATCATCATCATCATCATCAACGTTATCGTCATCATCATCGTCAACGACGTCATCATTATCAGTATTTTTACCATTACCATCGTCGTCTTCATCTTCGCATCTGAAAGACCGCTCTGAACGAGCAGATAACAATGACGCTTCGTCATCAGATATTGTAATTGTGAATTGTGACGATGATGATGACGATGATGAAGATGATGATGGCGATGGCGGGGCTGGTAATGATGATGATATCGGTGATGATGATGACGATTATGATGATGATGAGGAGGAGGAGGAGGAAGAGGATGATGAAGTCGTTTATGGAAAGGAAGAAGAAGATGACGATTTTGAAAATGAGCTCAATAGAAATATTTCTAACGATTTCACCATGACGTCACTGACTTTTAACGAGACGATCGTCGGTTGCGGCGATTCTACGATGACGTCATTTATGACGTCATCATCGACAGCAGCAGCTGCAGCGACGACATCGGCTTTAGCAGCCGAAGCGCCATCTGCCACCATTAGGCCTCCTAATGAAATTTGCGACTTTTCTTTATTAGCTCTATCCCCTGCTAAAACATTGGTATCAATTTCTCCTTCGTCGTCATCATTATCACCATCGTCATCATTATCGTCAGCCTCATCTATATTAAGGCCGCCAACAATTACATCAGCATTAAGGACAGCAGCAACGGCAGCAACTTCATCAGCCACAAAAACGACGACGATTTCATCATCACCAACATCAACAATAATAACAACAACAACGTCATCATCATCGTCGTCGTCGTCAAATTTATCCACATCAGTGTCAATAAACATACCTTGCCAAAACACATGGTCACTAATAAAAAATGGTATTGATGATGTTGTAAAGGAGAGTAGAAACAACAACAACAACATCAACATCAACATCAACAACCACATCAACAACCACATCAACAACAACAACAACACATCCTCATCATCATCAACAACAACAACAGCAACTACATCAGTATTTGATACAATACAACTTTCGTTTCTACAACTGCTTCCCTATTTGGTGAATTTGAACAATCCTTTTGGGCAAGAACAACAACAATTAATGTTTCCTCAACAACAACAACAATTAATGTTTTCTCAACAACAACAACAATTAATCCTTTCTAAAGAACATCAACTGCAACAGTTAATGTTTTCTCAACAACAACCTCAACAACAACAATTAATGTTTTCTCAACAACAACAACGGCAAGATTTTGAATCGTTTTTAGCACAGCAGTTTCTGCTACAACAGCAACAACAATTTCTGCAACAACAACATCAACAACACCAACAACAACACCAACAACAAGATCATCATCATCATAACTTCATTGCTTCGCCATTTTTGAACAATGGAGGCATATTCAATTTCAATCCATTTGTCAATTCTCCATCTAATGAAATAGTTCCAAACTATATTACTACTACTTCTACCGCTACTACTACTACTACTACTGCTGCTGCTACTACTACTACTACTACTACTACTACTACTACGAATGATACTTACACTGTTACTACTACTACTACTGCTGCTGTTGTGGTTACTGCTAGTACTACTACCACTACTACTTTTGCTGCTAGAGATACTTCTGTGGCTTCTGCATCTACTACCATCGCTACTACTGCTAATACTACTAGACTTGCTAGTACTACTACTACTACTTCAAATGACATTTCTTTCAATGTTTTAACTAATGATGACGATGATAATGACGATTATGATGACGATACTACAACTACAACTGCTGTGGTTGCTGCTACTACTACTACTGCTGCTACTTCTACTTCTACTACTACTACTACTACTACTGCTGCTGCTGCTGCTGCTGCTGCTTTTAAGAATAATGCTAATGGTTACAATTGCATTAACGATGAGGATGAGGTTGATGATGAGGATGATGATTTTATGGATAGAAATGATGATGATGATGACGACGATGATAATGATGACAACCGCGATTTACTAAATGATAACATCACTCATTACGATGATAACGACGATGATGATGATGTTGTTGATTGTGATGATGATGATGATGATGATGACGATGATGATGTTGTTGATGATGATGTTGTTGATTGTGATAATGATGATGATTGTGGTGGTGTTGGTAGTAGTGATGTTGCTTGGAATAATTTAGGAGAAAAATCGTCATCATCGTCGTTGTCTTCATCACCAATGATATCTCTTATGGATAGTATATCTAATATTGATATTACTACTACTGCTACTGCTGCTACTACTACTACTACTGCTGCTGCTACTACTACTAATAATAATAATAAAGATAATGTCTATGATAAAAGTGTTAATACTCTTTACGAAAGGAATGATGATAACGATGATGATGATGATGATGATGATGGTCGCGACGATTATGATAATGATACTTTTATGAGTGCACATTGCGTCAGCGGAAGTATGACGTTGGAATTTGCCAGAATTGATGATGATGATGATTTCGGCGATGATGACGATGACGATAGTGGTCATGGTAATGATTCTCGTAATAATAATAACAATAATAACAACAACAATAATAATAATAACAATAATGGGATGCCCTATGAGTCTAAATTACATATCTCACGTAATGATGATGATGATGATGGCAGTTGTTATGATAACAATGTCCTAACTACTAGTACTTCTACTACTACTACTACTACTACTACTACTACTACTACTGCTGCTGCTGCTGCTACTACTACTACTACTAATACTAATACTACTACTACTGCATCAAATAACAACAATAATAATAATAATTCATTTCGCCTAATGCATATTGTTAAGCAAGAGAGCGTCCTAAATGACAATGAATACTATTGTAATAGCAACAACAACAACAACAATAATAATAATAATAGTAATAATAATAATAATAATGACATTAATTGTTATAATGGTGTTAATGTAATTGCTTCCAAAGACAGTTGCCTTGGGCGACTGGAAGTTGAAAATTTTTTCAAATGTGAAAATGTCAAAAGTGAACTCGACGAAACCGCTCATCATGATTATGATCATGACGATGAGGTTAGTGATGATGATGAGGGTGATGTTTTTGTTGCTGATGATGATTGGGATGATTGCGATGATGATGATGATGTGATGCTGGTGATGATGATGTTTTTGTTGCTGATGATGATGATGATCGTTGTGATGATGATGTTTTTGTTGTTGATGATGATCTTTGTGATGATGATGATGACGATAGTTGTGATGATGATGATGATGACGATGATGATGATGACAATGATGATGACGATGATGATGGTGGTGGTGGTTGTGATGATGATTAAGTTAATCTTATTTGCACTGATGATTTATGTATATGTTTCATATCTTTTACAGATCTCTTTAAAATCTGACATGGAATTACATGGTATCAATAGCAACAACAACAACAACAGCAACAACAACAGCAAACATCAATACATTAAAACCGAATTCAAGAGTGAAAAAAGTGAATTAGACATCTCAATGTTTGAAAATGCCAAAACAACAACACCAACAACAACTGCAAAATCGCCTGTAACATCATCAACAACGTCAACAACAACAACATCAACAACAAAATTAAAAAATTTACCCCAAAACAGCATAGATAAAACAGCCAACAACTGTAGCCAAATTAAAACTTTTCTAATGAATAAAACATTCTCTTATGCCATAGACAAAACAGCTATTTGTTCCATAGATAAAATACCATCTCAACCTAAAGATTCAACAAAATCACAGACCATAGATAAAACAAGATCACAGACCATAGATAAAACAAAATCACAGACCATAGATAAAACAAAATCACAGAACATAGATAAAACAAAATCACAGACCATAGATAGAACAACAGTAACTACAAACCTGAAACAGTGTTACAACTGTTTAGTATCTTTGGACCCTACCTCGTTGGCTCAGTGTACAAGTTGCCATCACGTTTGCAGCAGATGTTTGTCTGACCAAATTAAAATATGGCTAAAGAAAGATAAAACTGTTAGTTAATAATAATAATAATTATTATTATTAATAATATTTATATTATTATTATTATTATAAAATAGGATTTATTCAGTTGCCATTTGAAGGGATGTCATTCTTTCTATAAATTAAGTTTGTGATTTTTTTCGTTGTAATTCATTCATTCGTTCTTTCATTCGTTCTTTCATTCATTCATTCATCCATCCATTCATCCACTAATTCGCAGCCAAACTACGGACAATAATTCCGAGCATGATCGTCGATATAATGGAAGAGAAATTGGAACACTGCTACAAAATGGCTACATCCCAAAACATCAGCAATAGCAGTAGTTGTAACAGCAGCTACAACAGTAGCCACAGCAGCTACAACAACAGCTACAGCAGCTGCATCAGCAGCCACAGCAGCTACAACAGCAATAACCAGAAATTCCAGCCGCCAGTGATAACGACGGTCAAGTTGGAAAGAGATGACTACTGGCCTCCTAATCAAGAAATGTGCCAGTTAGGAGAGAAGGGTTTATTTGGGGTAAGAGAGAATTTTAGAAAAAAAATTTTGATTCAAATTTTTAAAATTTGTACTGAGTGAATGACATTCTTGATTAAGTGATATTTATTCTTTTATACATTCATTCGTTCGCTCATTCATTCCTTCTTCAGTTTATCTACTGCTTTCGTATTAATTTTCATGTTGTAGACATCATTTTATTCATACCAACGAAGCAGAATTCCAAATACGAACTTCTGGAACTTTCTAAGAATTCTCTGGAATTCCAGAAAGTTTCCAAATTATTCCACAAAACCATGCTGAGGCCGAGGGCTGCTATTAAAAGGATCATGCTACTTTTGAATCCAGTTCTCTGGAGTTACTATCTGATGTTGGTCGTTTTGTTTGTTTGTTTGTATGTGTGTTTGTTTGTTTATTTGTATGTGTTTGTTTGTTTGTTTGTTTGTTTGTTTGTTTGTTTGTTTGTTTGTTTGTTTGTTTGTTTGTTTGTTTGTTTGTTTGTTTGTTTGTTTGTTTGTTTGTTTGTTTGTTTGTTTGTTTGTTTGTTTGTTTGTTTGTTTGTTTGTTTGTTTGTTTGTTTGTTTGTTTGTTTGTTTGTTTGTTTGTTTGTTTGTTTGTTTGTTTGTTTGTTTGTTTGTTGTGGTGTTTATCACCATTGTTGTTGTTGTTCTGTCATAAAATTCAATAAATAATAAAGATTGATGATGACGATGAAACTAGGAAAAAACTTCAAAAAGAGCGCGAGTACAAATCAGAGGTGCAGTTGAACCTGGAAAAAATGCTCTTCCATGGAATCAAGAGAAAATTACTGGACGTCATATGTATGGAGAACGTTGATTGGAGAAAATGCGGGGTCTCACATGGCATTATGTTCGGTCAAGGTTGGTCTATTAAGGGGTAATTTTTACCCCTTTCTACGAATACACGTGCCGTAGTTTGCAAATATGGGTTCCATAATTCTCTATGTAATTTAATAGGTATCGACATCAAACACAAAATCAAATCAAATTCATTTTATTCAATAATCTCAAATAATTTATGCAACAAATAATGACTTAAATAGAAAAAAATTATAAATACATCTCACTGTCTTACGTACATACAGCAGCGGGAATCTTAACCATTTCGTCGTCTGGCCTATTTTTAATAATTTTTTGTTTTTGCTAGTGCTGGGATTAATTATTTAAATTATTAATTAATTTAATTAATTTAATTAAATTAAAAAATTAAAAATGTCTTTCTTAATTATACCGTTCGAATGTTATAATAACATAATTTTATAATAATTTCTTGATAATTCCATAATAATTTCTTGATAATTTCATAATAATTCCATAATAATTTCATAATAATTTCATAATAATTCCATAATAATTTCATAATAATTCTATAATATTTTCATAATAATTCCATAATGATTTCTTGATAATTCCTTAATAATTTCATATTAATTTTTTGATAATTCCATAATGATTCCATAATGATTTCATAATTATTTCATAATTATTTTTGCCGCCCAGGGACGTATTTTGCCAGAGATGCCTCTTACGCTCACCAGTTCACCGACAAACCAACCAGACAAACATTTGACGACGAACATGATAAGTGGCTGACTGACATCACCAACAATAACAGCAATAATAACAACAACAACAACAATAATAATAACAACAACAATAATAAAACTAATAATAATGGTAATAATAATAATTGTCTTTCATGTGACACGGCCCAGCTACCAAACGAAAACCCCCTACAAAAAATTCCTCATTCTAATAATAAACTTAATAATAATAATGATAATAATAATGATAATGGTAATAGTGATAACCAACCAGAACACATCCACACCATGTTGGTGGTTAGGGTACTCGTCGGAAAGTACACAAGGGGTAAAACTAATTACCGGAAACCGCCCCCCGTCGACCCGAAAAACCCTTTTGGCCCCAGCTACGATTGCTGCGTTAATTATGTGGAGAGCCCTACCCTGTATGTCATTTCAGATTCGAACCAATACTACCCCGAGTATGTCATTGAGTATACGAATATGAAAGCTGAAAAGGAGAAGAGAGCGGACGATCGGGATACATTTTGGCGGGATTTTTTCTAATTTGTGTTTTAGCCAGCCTGACTGTGGTTTTATTCTGGAGGTTTTGAGGTGGTACATTCTACTCTTAGCAGTATTATTTATATTAGTTTTATTTTTTCTGAAGTTTTCATGGAACAAATCATGATTGAGTAATCAAACTTTAGCGAATTGTTTTTCTGAACGTTTGAAATAAAATTCGAAAAAAATTCGTTCATTCGGTTAAATTTTATTCTCGAATAAAAGTTGGGGCTACTTGAACTGTGGGTTTGTTGCTCGAAAAATACTTACAATACGAATTATTTCGATATAATAACGAAACGAGACAACAGGATTTTATTCTATTTTTAAAAAATCTAAATATTAATAAGAAGGCAGATTGGAATAAAAAAGAATAAGTTTAAGATGACGCAGAAACGGATGCTGCGAATCTACTGCTGCTACTACTGCTACTACAACTTTTCACCGATATCTCTATGATCATTATGATGACAGCGATGATGGTGATGATGCTGGCATTGAAAAGTGTGTACCTCTTAAATTTTATTTCAAGTTTTTTCAAAAAATTTTGTTAATAAATAGTGAAAAAAATCGTGAACTTCAAACGAAATGAACGTTGGAACCAAAAATGATTCAAAAACTAAATGAAATACAGGATAAAAATTTATATTTAGTTGCGATTTTAAAAGTTTGAAGCTGCTAGGTGGCGTAATCGTTAAGATGCCTGGCACTGCGACGTTTCAGTGCACCGGATTCGAATGCAAACAGGTCCCAGCGTATCACACGTCATGTGCCTGTGATTCGTTGATCCACGTGTGTTTACTTGAACTGTGGGTTTGTTGCTCGAAAAATACTTACAATACGAACCGTACTAACATTAGTAGAATAAAAACAATATTTCTAATTTTTATCTGGTTGTTTTCAATTCTGTGTGAGTGTGTGTGTTTATGCGTGTGTGAGTGTGTGTGTGTGTTTATGCGTGTGTGTGTATGTGTGTGTGAGTGTGTGTGTTTATTATTATATTCATAACCGTCCTTGACATTATATTTTTTGATGCTTCAAAAATAAATTACCTTCTACACAATTTGGGAAAAATATTTCTCGTTCTTTGTTTCTCTTTCTCTCTCTCTCTCTCTCTCTCTCTCTCTCTCTCTCTCTCTCTTTCTTTTTCTTTCACTCTCTCCCTCTTTTTCTCTTTGAATCTCTATACATTCAGAAGTATTTATTAGGCGTTTTCTCACTAATTGTGTTTAGATTTTAGAATTTTATTTTCAAATTAAAGCAATTAAATTTATAATTTTCAATTATATTCCACTATTTGTTTATATTTAAAATTTTCAGAAACCAAATTAAGCATTTAATCTTTGTTACTTTTCATTAATATTATTAATTGTTATAATAATTGTTACTATTAATTGTAAATGTTAATTATAGATAAATAATTTTAAACTTCTTGGAGCAATAAGTTTCCAGATTTCATTTAACACCATTATAAAAACCAACGATCATGATGATGACGTCTATAAAATTGTTACCAAAGATCAAAAAACACAACCTCTACCGTTTCCTCTTCCTCTGTTTACTTCCGGCTCACTTTCGTGACGTAATTTCGGCCGATAATGTCACAGTTAGTGTGGTGACGAAAAATGGAAAAGTCGAAGGGTTGAGATTTAGCAACAAGATTGCCAATTTAACCACAGGTAAGTTGGTTAATAATTAATTATTATATTTATAATATTATTATTATTTTGTCATAATTATTATT